CGCCCGTCAATGAATCTCGACAGCGGTGGCGTCCAGCTGAGCCCAATATGGGACATTGTGCTAAAAAAATAGTGGTTGGCACGCTGAACGAACACGCGAGGGGGGGGGGTCACCTTGTGTAAGTGTGACTTACCTGTAACTGAAGTGACGCTCTTTTTATTAAATTCGCGCTGATTGTCTAAATATTTAATTAAAATTCCGTGATAGACAGTGATATTGTATAAGTTCTTAGGAAGGCGGTATCGTATAGGTTATTTTATCTGCACTGGAGGACCCAGCTCCACCGATTGCATGGGAATTGTGTTATTTTGTTGTGCTTAACAAAGCTCGCACTGTGCATCACTGATCACTCGCATTGAAAAAGGTACCACTACGAGTATCGAAATATTTGCTATCAATTTTTCAATATATATCACTCAAGAAACTCCGAAAATATTATTTCATATTCATTATAACTTGAGGAAAAGGTAACATGACTCTTAAGTCATACATTACCACAGTATAAGTTAAGGACAAAGGAAGTGGGAACGAGGAAAATTAAAACGCAAACGGGGACGACGGTGAAAACAGGGCGCCTTGGGCGATTTGACCAAGGTTGGTGAAATTTACACGTGACGTTTAGCATGTAGAAGACCCACGAAGGGGTAGCACTTCCAAATGTCACGTGACTAATATGCCCTCCGGCGCCCTGTTTTCACCGGCGTCCAAACGGGGACGACGGTGAAAACAGGGCGCCTTGGGCGATTTGACCAAGGTTGGTGAAATTTACACGTGACGTTTAGCATGTAGAAGACCCACGAAGGGGGAGCACTTTCAAATGTCACGTGACTAATATGCCCTCCGGCGCCCTGTTTTCACCGGCGTCCGAAAACGGCACGGTGCGACTGCATGAAAACGTTTTGCCAATAAGTATGCTAAGCTTTTATAAATCCTTATTCTACGTCTTTTGATTTTTGGTAAGATGACGTCATTGATTATCATGTAGTATGGTAGATCATCATAAAATAAATCGGTTATACTACACCAATTTCGTTTTAGTTATTATTTTATTTGAAATAAAACCACTTAATAATATTCGGTAAAATATTTCAAGGAAAATGAAATATATTAAATATGTTATGCTTAGGCTCTCAGGAGAAAAGGATCAACAAACGTTCTGCTGCAAATTAAACAATGCAGCAAATTAGCTATTAATTAGGCACGTAAACGTAAATAGCGAGACGAAAACGGCGCTTTTGTTTCAGTTATTTTTGTAGGGGTTTCTTAGTTAGGACCAGCGATGCCATTCCTTGGGATTTGTCCCAAGATCTTGGGATTTGAACATTAACATTGGGATCTTGTGATTTGCACTGCATATCTTGGGATCTGGCAGAAGCTGATTTCACTTTGTCTTCTCATGCTGTCGAATGCTTTTTCCTTGGTCGATAATAGATTTAGAATGGATTTGCACTACGGACGGTTAATCAAACATATTGAAGTAACGGACGAAGCTTGCGATGTTTCTAGCCGGCATTATCTTCCCGAGATCGCAGGATTATTTTTGTACCATTACTTGTTATGGGTATAGTAGCAGCTTTCAGTCGCTGTTCGCAACTGGCGCTCATTTGTTTAATTTCCAACTACCGATCGACGGGGATGGGTGGTTTGGCGGCATGATGGACGACGGTGAAAACAGGGCGCCTGGGGCGATTTGATCAAGGTTCGTGAAATTTACACGTGACGTTTAGCATGTAGATTGTAGAAGGCACACGAAGGGGGAGAAGCTACAAATGTCACGTGACTAATATGCCCTCCGGCGCCCTGTTTCACCGGCGTCCATGATGTTGGGTGGCTATGAAAAGCTTTTACAAACATTATGCCTAAAAAACATTTCAGAAAGCGGCTCCCGCACAAAGCGTTTCATTTTACGGTTTTGCTCTATGGAGGCTTATCCGTTGACCGCGAACCAAAATAAGGGCAATTTGTCTTTGACCTCGGGAAAGTGTCTGGTCACCTGACCTCTGGAGTCTGGGCTCTGCTGGACCAAAAATAATCAAAGCGTAACATTGCGACCTTCACAACACTGCTGACGTCTTGTAACTATATAGTCCAGGGGACGAGTTAGGTCCTCGTTTAGACCCCCTCGCCATCGCCGGCTTGAAAATTCATGGGCCCCAGCGGGCACTGGCTTACGCGCAGATTCACAGCATAGGCTTTTCGATTTCAGGATTCACATAAGCTTTTAAGAGCTTGTTTTGGAGCCCATATTTCAAAACTCAGTGGTGGAAAACACTTAAAATCAGCCTGATCTCACCTGACCCTAGCTTCTCCAAATGTGTCACGAGACAAATTTTGAAATAAATCCAAAATGCCACAGACTTCGTTTCCAAGAAGTTCTACCAGATTCGGACTATGTGTTTTAAGTCCTTGACCCACCATTGACGGTCGACGAATGACCTGACCATAATATCAGATACCACCGGCTTCATGTTGTCTAGGCCAGCATCTTCATTTTTCGTGAAGCTATTATACTCGGTCAGGAACCGATCAGCTGTAGGAGTCCGATCGACCCCCTCCCCCTCCCCTCCCCCCGGCCTCTAGGTACATTAGCTGCTGTAAATACGCCAATAAGGACAAGGGTGGACCCGAAGAAGAGAAAGTTGAATACTAAACACACTAATATGTCCAAAATAAGCTATGGATTTACTTGGGGTACTCCTAAGGATATTCGATGGGTAGTCTTGGGATTTGAGACGAGAATCTTGGGAAATTCTGGTCGAGATCTTGGGATGGAGCAAAAATGTGGATGGCATCACTGGTTAGGACGGCCGGTTTCTTTTGCGCGGCGTAGTTAGGTCGCCGCCCTCCTCGCGAGGCCGGTAACGTAAGTTAGGGCCACTAAAAAAAAAAAAAAAAAGATATTTATAGAGTTCAGTGGGTTGTTTCTGAGGAGATGTGGAGATGTGAATTATTAATTAATCACACTTTATTAGTATATAGGGCCTTGCACTTTATCATCTGGATTAGAAAAAAACGTTTCCTGCTGAGTGCAGAAAGGTAGGTAGGTGCATCGCCAGGTTCTATCACCAGGATTGGTGCAGTTATTGCAGTTGAAAGTCAAAGTTGGCTGTTCATGTTTAGGCCCTGTTCTTTATTTGGCCATCTACCCCATATTGCAGTTGTGATGACAAGCAGTTTTCAGTGTAGTTTTGTGATCTTTGATGTCATCAATTGGTGTCATTATTTTTCGTCAACTAAAAGTTATTTGAACTCTCCTTTCAATCGACTCAATCATACGAGTCACTCTAATTTTCAGGAATCAAATCAGTCAACCAGTCGCTAAAGTCAAACGAGTCAGTCAACCAGTCATCTCGAAAAGTCAATCGACTCAATCCAATCAACTCAAAATACGCGTTGAAACAAATCAATCAATTCAATCGACTTGATTGGTATACAACCCTGCTCAGGTCACGAAGCTGGGCAAAGGGTATCATATGACATAACATTCGATTCGGAAGGTCTTCCCGATTCCATTGGTGGCTTTCCTGACTCTCTAGCTCCATTTGATCGGGAGTTATTGACGAAAAACTCGTACGACCCTAGTGACGTTATAAATGACGTCACGCAAGGTTAACAATGCAAAAGTAAAGCATTGGACTTTGCAAGGAGTGCATGAAATCACGATACCATGTACGCGGGATAGTTTTAGGTCATTCTCGGCGCCAAAATAACAGTTTTTATATTTCCCCATTGATTTATAACAGTGATGTCACGTGACCGACCTGACCTCATGTAACCTTGCAAAAATTCCCAGATATACATACAAGTTGTGAGAGTCTCTGGAGGACACCATGTATGCGTCCGTCCTGTAACTTTCATCTCGGACAGCTATGGTCATTGGCGTCCAAAACAATGTCAGAACCAAACAGCCTTTTTCACCCTCGCGCTTATAGGAAAGAGGGTTGGATGAACCCTCTTTTCACTTTTTTCAGATGACTCAGACTTAAATTGAAATTTCAGTAACCCGTGATGTCACTAGGCAGCTTTACCACGCCATTTGTAAGCTCCCCTCCCGAAATCCCTATTCGAAACCGTTATCGTGACGCAAAATAAATACATTTATAGAAAGAACACCTTATAAATTTTTTGCATACTTCTTAACAATGAGCCAAATATTTTTTAAAGAAATAAAAATTCAAAAAAATCAAAATTCAAAAAAATTGGTCCCAAAGTCCAAAAATACAAATGAAAGAAAACTCGATATGTCATATATCAAAAACAGCGTATTTTTCGAAAGTTCAAAAATACTTATTAATCTGTTTCATTGCAAGTTCAATGTTATATAACATTTGGCATTTGAATAATCCGTCTTAGAGTTACAGCCCGCCAAACTTAGCGCTGCAAAGCAAGATCTAAAAAATGTTATACACCATAACTCAAAAAATACTTACCTATCTGATAAGCCTGAAATTGTTACAGGTGGATTCAGAGCCCCTGATTACCCCCGAGACCAATTCTCGTCAAATTCCGAGAGATGAGGGTGTCAAATTGGAAAAAAAGTGATACGATCTATCGTGGAATGCCCCAGGAATCACACAGAGACTCACCCTCAAAACTGCTGACCGTGACAGGACTCGAACCTGCAATCTCCTGATCCGAAGTCAGGCGCCTTATCCATTAGGCCACACGGCCGATGGGGAAAATTGGGCCGGGGCGATGTTCAGAATGGAAGACTGAATGGCTCTCCACCAAGGACGTCACACAGCGTGTAGTATATAAACATTAAAGTGGATGAAAACAAGGGCCTGGAGGGCATAAACGCCCATATTTAGTCACATGCCCAAAGATGAAGCTTTTCTTCTACATCGATTGCCCTAATGTGATGTCTGATGTGGCTCGGGTCAACGAGGCACCTTTCTCGATGGTCGTCGTCGATGGAGTCTAAAAACCGCCGGCGGGCACCTATTTTCACCGTGCACCGCTAGAAAGACGAGTCCTCCCGGGATGGTGGGAGTACCGACCTGACGCGGACGACGTGAATGTAGTCCGAGTGGCCGCGCAGCGAGGCCACCTTGATGCGCGTCTCGAGGTCGATCACCTGCACGTCGTGGTTGCCCGAGCCCACGTACAGCCGGTTGTCGTGCAGCTCCAGCGAGTTCACCTCCGGCTGCGAGAGGCTCTCGCTGTCGGCAGCGGGGCGCTGCGGTCAGCACGGCGGCGGCACGGCGGCTCCCGTACAGAGGGCGCCACTTGGAAACAGCCGACGGCGAGCGACAGTCGCAAGTGACGGTTGAATATGAACGGCGCGGTAAAAATAACAGTCGCCTGGCCATGACACTTACGACGTATGGAGAACCTTCACATTTTCCCCCTGTACTTTATCAACGACATTTCATTAGCTTATTAATCGAATGCGTAATAAGCCCACTATATAGTACCTACGGCAAATGCTCAACCAAATCGGTTGGACGCTTAAGCCTTAACGCGAGATCGTGCAAACCAACTCCGCGTAGTTTTAAATTCATACGATATCTACATTATCCCAGGAGATTATCTATAGATTGTCTGCTAGCAAAAACTCAGCTTTCACACGTAAGACATGCAAAGAAACTAAAGGTCTAAAAACATACGGACACCGCAGGGCACTGACCGATCGGATTCTATTGGAATGTTCCATGCCATTTTGAAGTTCTTCTTCAGAATATCGCTCCATTTGTAAGCCTGAAATGTAAAACGCTTGTCACACAACATACAATCATCAGGATGTCATATCACACAAAGTCATATCATCAGGATGTCCCGAAGTATTGGCATCGCGATTCCGTTTCAACCATGAAGTGGTCAGCCGAGTGACGCGCCAGTCGAACCATTTAGCCTTAGACAAACCACGTACAAATCATGGGAAACGGACATTCACCTACAGGTCTAGTCAGTTGTATAATGGTGCGCGAGAACACACTGATTTTGATGTGAGAGAGTTTACAGTTAGGGCTTTCAAACGGGTCGCAAGAGAAGTAGTGAAAACTGGCTAGTCTATAGCTTTTCTATGTGGCTCGCTTTTACTTTTAATCCTAACATTTCTCGATTGTCTGATAGTGAGATTATTCGCTTTGATGTTTACCGATCCGCTTTTACTGTCTATATGTACGTGTCCACTTTTGGATCTTTTGATCACGTTTTACACGTCTTATTTGTTTATCAATGCTTGTATGACGAAGACCTAGAATAGCCTCAACTTGAGGATTGGTCAGATATTGTGACAATAAACAATAATAATAATACAATGGAAAAACAATCATAAAGTAGGTACAAAAAGTGATGTGACCTTTGGAAGGCATTAACCCGCGCCCGGTTGGGGATCTCAGCCAATTGTTCAGTATTGTTAGACGCATTTATGAAATCTGATGACCAAGAGTAAGAGCTGTAAACCAAAATTAAAATTAAAAGGTAAATCTTTTTGTATTTACTAAAATACAAAAAGATTTAATTCTAATTTTGGCTTACAACTTTTGGTCATCAGATTTCATAGATCTCAGCAAACTTCGCCATGGTGGGGAGTCTTGGGGGGGGGGGGGGCGTATTTGGCCACACCAGGTTATCTCGGAAACTCAGAAAGCTAGAAAAACGCTGAAAGAAAAACAGTACACAGCTCGCTATAAAATCTTTCAGAATTGCAAAGATATTTTTTTATCAGGTCATCGCTGAGGTCACTGAAGGTCACCAACTGTAAAATTATCAGGATTTTTTAAATAGATTTTTACAATTTTCACAAATTAGCGCGTAACTCTGGCACGAATGGAGGTACAGCACCACGGGAAAGCGCATTCGATACTTCTTTCAAATCTCTGTCTGAATTAACCTCTCAGCTTTGACCAAGAGTCGACGGTTTAGGCTCCAGAGGGCAAAAGCTCTTAAAATTTGACGATCTTAACCCTATTACTGGTGGACTTTCTGGACGACGTTAACTGGTGGTGGTGGGTGTGGGGGGGGGCATTCGCCCCCCCCCCTTGATATCTCGAAAACTAGATGTCCGATCTTAATGGGACAAACGCCATTCGATCGCTCTCATCGTGAACTTTCAGATTTGCTATAAAAAGTAAAAAAAAGTTCAAAATTGGGAGTCCTGGACTGGAAGCAAAAAAAATCGAAAAATCGCGTTTTACATCGTATCACTATCAATGCTATAACTTCTTTATTTTTTTGACCGATTTTGATACAACTTCAGGGAACCCTTCTTCATGAACTGGTCTATCATATATATTCCGGCATTTTGGATATTTCAAAAATCATAGGCGGATTCAGGTAACCTAATTTGGGATGATGTTTTGAGCTTTTGTCATGGCATTTCATGTGTATTATTACATGATATGTCATATATCATGTAAAATATGCAACGTGAGCACGAAATCACGTTTTCGTTAATCATCAGGCATGCTAAGACTGAAAAAAGGTACCTGGGTCCGCCTATTCCAATATTTTCATTGTAGAATGACGTCACAGTCTTTAGGTGCATAAATATGACGGGAGGTGCCACTGATCACCATTACAAACCTAAGTAAGTCGCTGCTTAGCGGCAAATGTCGGAACAGTCAAAGCTGGGCCAAAACTACCCCCGAGAAACTCGTCCTGGAGACGTCTCTGCGCAAGCTCAAACTCAAAAATTTGACACAACGTGCCCAATGAATGGCAAGGAAAAGTCACCAAAGTTAAATCCCCTAGCTAGAGTGTTTTTCCGTTGAGAGCAAAAAAAAAAAACTACAGGTGGGGGCCGATTCGGTCCCCCCCCCCCCACCAGTAATAGGGTTTAGGAAAACGTTCTCCTTCAATAACATTTAGACCCAGCTTGTATTACTATAGTCACCGTGGTATTGCTCTGATTTTACCGGCATCGCGTTTCTCTCGTTGAGACGTAGCGAATGAACTATAAGTTGACTTTCAAATGCAAAGGCCAACTGAAAAAATTGACCCGCGAAAAAACCTACCTGTGCCCCGATGTTTCAGTGTTTAGTACAGCTTTCATTCAAAACTGGCACATATCAAAATTTAATGTTCTCCCATTGCATTGACTGATTATGCATCTCTATATATAGAGTAGAGAAGTCTGTGGCAGAGGTATAAAGGAATGGTGGCCAATGCACCTTATCCCTCATCATACACAGTAAGTACACCTAAACTACACACATCGTACGCTGATACGGGCTACTATTCACAGGATTTTTGTTTTAGTGGAATATCAAGTTGCTGAAAGAAGAAGTGTCTTTGATTCCTATCGCCACCATAATCGAAGACACCGCCTCGACAGCCGTGCTGGAGAGCACCGCGGGTGTGTGCCGCGTCCCCCGGAGGCCGGCGCAGGGCGCCCTGCCCGTCTCACCTGGATGAGGCCGCTGGTGCCCGCTATCAGGTGGCTCTCGTCACAGACCAGGGCGTAGACAGGTGCCTCGCCGGTGGAGAAGCGCAGCTCGGGACGCCGGAACTCCCGCAGTGACTCCTCGTTAGCTGACAGCTCCACAATCTTCTTCACACTGCAAATGTGTGAGCGGAGGAATGCATCAGACAACCTGGCCAAGCTGCTATCAAACGTGGATCGTTTATCGTACTACTTTAAAATGTGGGCCCTGATCAGAAATTCGATGATGTGTAAAGAAAGCAAAAAGCAGAATTTTAAGGAGAATATAATGTGACTTTGATTTGACATGCCAAAAGTAATGTAAAATATATTAAACGGCATTGGCAACGCCTGTAACAATTTGCATAGGTAGGTCCACATGCATGTGACACAGTAAAATGCAAAGTGCAGATGATTGCAATGATCCAAAGCATTTTGTAACTCAGTTCTAGTGCTGCATCAGTGCGTTCATGACCGATATGTCTGGAGGACGTGAACTCACTCGTAGCAGGCGATGTTGCCGAACCCATCGCCGGCCGCCAAATAACCCCCACAGGCAGAAAACGCCTGGCAAAAGACAGTTGTATACAGCTCCTTCTTCATATCGCAGCAATTACTGCAGAGTAGCCTCAGGCCAACCAATCAGGCTTGGAAGCTCTGCATCCAGCACTCGTATCTGTGAACTCCACACCAAGCCTGAAAAGATGACAGTAATGACTTGGTAGGGGAATGCAGTACATAGTTATATGTATATTGTGATGATGTATACCTATGAGTTATACCTCGTATAGGTACAGTCACCAGCACTTGCTACTAATCACCTCGTTTTTGCTCAGTAGTTTGAAGACCGATCAATTCTCAGTCGAGCAAGATACGTCAAACGATCAGTTTGGTCCTCCGATTTTCGAATATCTAACTTGTTTTTGTATGTTCGAAGCATTTTGGGATGAGGAGCCAAAAAACGTCTTTTCTGTCCTAAAGTTGCCCCAAGAAGTCGTAGAACCTAGCCCCGCCTCTGATCCACAGACCACTAGTGCCATCTCTTGTCAGCCGAACAAACCGCAGAAGTAAATAATGTCACGTGACCTTTGCACACGCTACAATTACTACGCAGTTGTAGTGGGGGAAGCGGGGCGGAGGCGTGGAGAGGGACGCGATCGGTCGGCTGGGGTCAGGTCGCCGAGGTCAGAGGTCATCCGCCGGAGGGTGTTTGGGCGGTTGGGCCGTGTGGGCTGGGGCCTGCGGAGTGGGGAGCGCCTGGACCTGTCTGGAAACAAGTTCTACAGCGCTGTGGCAGTCGAGAATATTGTGAGAAAAGAGAGAGAGAAAGAGAGAGAGAGAGAGGAGAGAGAGAGAGAGAGAGAGAGAGAGAGGGAGAGGGAGGGAGGGAGAGGGAGAGAGGGAGAGGGGGAGGGAGAGAGAGGGAGAGGGAGAGAGGGAGAGCGAGAGGGAGGGAGAGCGAGAGAGGGAGAGAGAGGGAGAGAGAAGGAGAAAGGGAGAGAGATAGAGGGGGAGAGAGAGAGAGAGAGAGAGAGAGAGAGAGAGAGAAAGAAAGAGAGAGAGAGAGGAGAGAAAGGGAGAGAGAAGGAGAAGAGGAGAGAGATGGAGAGAGAGAGAGAGAGAGAGAGAGAGAGAGAGAGAGAGAGAGAGAGAGAGAGAGAGAGAGAGAGAGAGAGAGAGAGAGAGAGAGAGAGAGAGAGAGAGAGAGAGAGAGAGAGAGAAAGAAGAAAGACTGGAGGGAAGGGATAAGGACGGGAGGAGAGAAAACAGAGACAGAAAAGGAAAACCAGGGAGGGTAAAATGAGAGAGGGTAATGGGTAAATCAGTGAGGGGGAGCGAGAGAGAAAATATTTAAATGTGTCAGCTTGTTTCGTATGTAAAATGTAAATTTGCTTTCCATCATTTCAGCTTCGGATTGGAAATTAAATCTTAGCATCCTTATGATAAACAAACGCTGACGGGATGGGGACGTTTTTATGGTCGTCGTTGGCAGCTCTGCACTAATGGGGATGATGTTGAGGGTTTCGCAAATATTTCATAAAAGAGATGCTATTTTTTGCATCACCTATTAAACATTTTTTTACGTTTGCTATGAAAATGTTAGGCCCAGGGCCAGTTCCTTCAAGATCAGCTCCACGACTCCACAGCTTACAACAGGAGCTAGCTAACATAACAATTCACCCGAGCCGTATGTTGATGGCATGAACTTTCCGTCGAGTGCTTTCACGCCCCTCCGTCTAACTCAGCTCCTGGGCCACGTTGCGACACGCGGTAAGCGGCAATCGAAAGAGCGTCAAAAATAAGAAGGAAAACACTCGGTGATTTTAAGGTCAGGGCAAAGGTCAGGTCACCAGAGTTCATCAAAGGTCAAATTTTGTCGATTTCAACGATTTTAAACACCCGACGACTAACTCTGGAACCAATAGAGCTACAGCGCCGTGGAAAAGCGCATTCGATAGCTCTTTTAACGCTCTTTCGCCAACATATCCTCAAATTTGACCTCAGATCAACGGTTTAGCCCCCAGAGGTCACCGCTCTGATTGACTTCAAATTTGACCTCAGATCAACGGTGACCCCGTGTTTTCACCGCTCTAGCACGTCTCTGTCAAATCAAAAGTTATAGTAAAAAAAAAACTGCTGAAGACCTTTCATGACCTGAGATGACCTCATGGGCACTCAAAGGGGGCACAGGAGCAATTTCCCGATTCAGAGTGTCATGTTTACATTACATATGAACCGATGTTTGAGAGGGTGTAGAACGACATTCGGCCAAAAGAGGCTCATTTCAATTTTCTCCCATTGATTTATATGGAGCAGTCGTAAAATTGAACTGACCTTAGGTCACAACTCACAGATATAGAAAAAAATCCGAGATACCCATTTTATACATACTGTTACCCTAAGCAAGTACTGAAAGTTTAAAAGTGATCGCTCAGTAGGTGTAGCCACAGCGAGCTTTCTAACTTTTTCTGAGGTAAGGTCACTTAACGTTACCTTGTGACCTGACCTTGAATGACCGGGATCTGAAATTTTCATAGCATGTGCGAAAAAGATGTCGGAGCGGGTGTATCTAGAACAGCGGCGCTACGCGTCGCCGTTTTTTAAATATTCGCGAAAAACCTAGGGGGGGGGCGTAAAAACTCCCCCCAGGACGGCGCGGATCAAACGGCCCCTGAGACCTCGGGATGGTGCCCCTGAGACCTCGGGATGGTGCCCCTGAGACCTTGGGATGGTGCCCCTGAGACTTCGAGATGGTGCCCCCTCAGACCCGGGGAGAATGCTCCTTCAGACCTCGGATTTCGGAAAAGTGCCGCCATGGAAACTTGGAATGGTGCCCCCGGAGACTTCGAGATGGTGCCCCCAGACCTCGCGATGGTGCCGCCGGAGACCTCGGGATGGTGCCCCGGACCATCAAGATGGTGCCCTCTCCGACCTTGGGATGGTGCTCGCGGAGAACTCGGGATAGTGCCAGCTGAGAACTCGAGATGGTGCCCCGCGGACCTCGGGATGGAAATAAATGGACAATATTAAACTAAAAACTAAAAAACTAAAATTAACTAAAAAACCCGAGGCGAGGGACAGAAATGGGCCTCCGGGAGACCCCGAAAACGGTACCCTATTCCGATAGACCTGGATGGTGCCCCCTTAGGAGACCTCTGGGTTAAAGCTCCCGTCGGTGACCTCCGTGATGAATTAAAAAAAAAACTCCGTGATGGGCCCCGGGAGACCCAAGGGGGGGGGGAGAATGGCCCCATGCCCCCCCTCTAGATCCGCCACTGAAATGATCTGACCCAATACCTTACCTAAAAACGACCAAAGCCTTCCTTCATTGTCCGAGAACCGCTGACAGTTGATAGCTCAATGACACTAGAGCCGTGCATAAGGAGGCGTGAAAACACTCTCCTCATCTCGATTTATTACGAGAGGACCATGTCAGGGCGTGAGAAAGGTGTTCTCAAAATAGATGACACTGTATGAATGAGTAAATAATTCGCGCCCCGTTGTGTTATTGGCGGACCCTACCACCTGATGGGGTGGTGCAGCCGTTTCGCCCCCCACCTGAGATATCGGAAAGTTTCCGACCGATTTGGAAAATTCGAAGAACGTTTGATAGCCCCACCAGGGAACTACCTTGTTACCAGGTTTCGTTGACCTAGGTGCAACCCATGATGTCACAGGTCAGGTCAAATGTTGCATTTTTTTCACCAATTTAGTCTAAGGAATGCGTTAAAGTCAGTTAAAACCCGGCGGCCGCTGGGCCTCCGCCCACCCGCCGGCCGCTGGGGGGGGGGGGGGGGGGCATATAGTTGCCCCCCCTTTACTTCTGCGACGATATCGTCGCAGATAGAGAAGCGAAACTTTGCACACATCTTCCTGAATACCTAGCCGAGGTTGTGTCCAAATTTGGTGTCGATCCCATTTGAAATGACGTCACAGTGACGTCATAAGTGAAATTATAGATTTGCGGCTCTCATATTCCTCACGATACATCAGATATATGGGACCGAAAATAAAGGGCCGATTATTGGTCAGAAACTAGATGGAAGTGTAGTTAGATGTTTTAGGATGACAGCAGGTGCTGTCTAGTTCATTGACAGTTGAGTTTCATGCTCAGCGTCATCAGAAACGGTCCATATCGGAAAACGACAAAACCTTATGACGTCACTGTGACGTCATCTTAGGTACTACAACCACCAAACTTTCCTCAAACATTGCCTAGGTATTCATTTGAAGCTATGCCAAGTTTCACGTTCGTAGCTCATCAGGTTTCGGAGATATTTCACAAAACGTAAAGGGGGGGGGGGGCAACTTTATGCCCCCCCCCCCCCCCCCCAGCGGCTCGTGGGTTAACATATCAAATAAAAGGCATGTTATCGAAAAACCGATGGAGCGTGGTTGCCCAATACATATGTTGCCTAAAGAGGTCACTGATGCCAGGTCAGGTCACAGAGGTCAGGTCACTAAGGGTCACAATATGAACCCAACTATGCTAATTGCTAGGGTCACGTGATACATGTTTTATGGTCAATTTTACATTTGAAATTCAATGGTGTGGGCTAGACGGCCATTGGGGCCGGTTTAGATTGCGTTCTGGTGGAGGTCAGGTCAAGGTCAGGTCAAAAAAGGTTAACCCTCGCCGGACCTATTGGTTTTCTACATACGCGCCGGCCGAGGGGGGGGCGGGTACGACCCCCCCCCCCCTCGCCGTTTCGCCCCTGGTGGAGCTAGCGCGTCGCGGAAAAAACGAGCGTGTGCGCCGTTACGAGACGCAGAGATTGGTACCCGATTTTAAGGTCCTAGGTCAACCGGTGACCTCTGAGGTCAGGTCAAGTGCCCCAGGGTACGGTTCAGTTTTTGGTGAATAACTTCGCAAAAAACGGCCGCAGAGCGCCGATTTTGGCAGCATCGTGTTCGCCTCGCTCAGGCGCGTCGAATGATATACTTTTTGTCCGGGTCAGGTCAACTTGGGGTGTTGACCTCAGGTCAAGGTCAGGTCAGCACCCCCAGGTCACGAAGCTGGTCGAAAGAGGTCATGTCGCATATCATTCGATTCGGCAGGCCTTCCTGAGTCCATTGGTGCCTTTCCCGACTCGCTAGCTCAATTTGATCAAGAGTTATTGACGAAAAACTAATTTGACCTTGATGACGTCATAAATGACGTCACGCAAGGTCAACATTGCAAAAGTGACGCATCT